TCTAAATATGTACTTCCGGTTGCGATCCGACACCGGAAGTGACCCGAAACGCGCATAAAACGTCAAGATAGAGCAAATCTGACACCGGATTCGTGATCAGCATGCAAAATTAACTGCTAAATGATATCCATGTCGACATTTGATGAACTAAAAATTGCATTCCGGTTTTGAGGTCGACTTCCGGTTTCGTTTTTATTAAAAAGTAAAAAGTAAAAGTTTACATAACTCCCGGTGCCAAGCAAAAGTTTTCAGAAAATGGAGACATTGTAACAAAAAACATTGTTTTCGACGAAATATTTCGTGATATTTAATACACTTTTTTCTTGCATTATTATTGATGAATGTATTGTAAACCGCTAGTTATTAATTATCCTGCTGATATATTTATTTTATTTAATATCTTGTTAACTATTAACTTTATTAAAGATATTTTATAACAAAATTTAGAAGTAAATATACTTTTGTCTTCTTTGGTTGCCTGGAGTAACTGCTGGAGTAATGTTGAGAAGATTTGCTGTTCAAAGTTTACTGTGAAAAGATATTTCACCAGAAGAATTCTTCCAGAAGCTTTGGAAGGCACCTCGGATAGTATAATTATAAACGGGCAATGTATAAAATGTATAAGTAACCTGCGATATGCTGATGACACTGTCATACTGGCAGATAATGCTGAAGCACAGCAACGCTTAATGCACAAAAAAGAATCCAAGCATTCGAACTCTGGTGTTACCGTAAAATGCTCAGAATATCCTACATGAGCCATACGACAAATGCGGAAGTCTTGCGGATGATGAATAAGGAAAGAGAGCTTATACTTATAATAAAAGAACGAAAACACAATATTTTGGTCACATCATAAAAAATCAAAAGTATGAACTGCTTCAAATTATAATCGAAGGCAAAGTCAATAGCAAAAGAGGACCAGGAAGAAGACGCAACTCTTGGCTTAAAAACCTACGGCAATGGACGAACATGACCACCATAGAACTATTCAGGGCTGCTACAAATAAGATTAAATGGGCAAATGTAATGGCCAACGTCCTTAAGGATAAGGCACCGTAAGAAGGAGAATGTTGAGAGTTGAAGTTATTAACAGATATTATATCTTTTTTGTTAAAATAATCTTTAATATTTTTTATGGCAAATACTGGTAACTTAAAGAACAAAAAAGTTAAGTGCAAATTTATGCTACATATGTGATGCCCTCTATCAGCAACATCAAATTATGCATCAAGTTATAATTTCTCATATTTAATAGTGTCCAGTAGTAAATTTTTATACATAAACGTTAATAAACATGAAAATTATAGCGATGATAATAATAAAAGCGACAATGACAAAATGTACACAGCAGCCGTCCTAGACGTTAGCAAAGCCTTTGACAGAGTCTGGCATGAAGGACTGCTCTATAAAATGAATAGAAATCAATATAGAAAGGCAATGACATGTCTCCTTGCGTCATACCTGACAAACCGGAGATTTAGAGTTCGTATAGGGCCCACTCTATCCGAAGTCGGAACTCTGGAGGCAGGTGTGCATCAGGGAGCGGTGTTATCACCGTACCTATATAACATATACACAGCAGACACACCTAGTGACCACAGAACAATGCTCAGGCTATATACAGACGACACGGCGATAGCAACAAGCAGCAGAAACCCCAATTTTGCAACAAGGGACCTACAAAGATCACTAAACCGACTGCACGCCTGGTGCATAAAATGGAAAATAGCACTCAACCCGGAAAAAACATAGGCCGTCATGTTTAAGAAAAGAAGGGCAAGACCAAATATGGAAATAAGTTTAGCTAACGAAAACATAAAATGGAGCAATCAAGCTAAATATCTAGGGGTAAAACTTGATCACAAGCTTACATTCACTGAACATAAAGCGGTACCAAGCGGTACATAAAGCAAAATTAACAAAGACACAACTCACCGCGCTAATCGGCAGGCAAAGAAACTTCTTTACAAAAATAAGAGTAGCAAACAACATAATATTACCAACGTTAACTTATGCATCAGCAGCATGGGGGCACACCTTTAAATCAAACAGGAAGAAAATACAAGTAGCACAAAATCAGCTAATAAAAGATGCACTAAAAGTACCGAGATATGTACCATTAAGATCTTCTTCTTCTTAGAGTGCCATATCCCTACGGAACGTCGGCGACTACCATGCTTATAATATTATTATACTGATCTCAGTCTTGCGCTACGTATAGCAATTGGTCCGCTGTCAAACCTGTCCACTACCGCAAATTCCTTAACCAAGAGAGTTTCTTCCGTCCTATCCATTTCTTTCCTTCGATTTTACCGTTGAGAATTAGCCGAAGCAACTTATTTCTTGGTCCTCTGATTATATGTCCAAGATATTCTAGTTTATGCCTCTTAATAATATTTAATAGAGATCGTTGATGTCCCATTCTTCGAAGAACTTTTTCGTTTCTGGTTCTGCTAGTCCATGGAATTAAGATTACCTGATAGACCATTCTCACACAATCAGCCTAATGAGTCATATGTTGAAACTGTTTCTTAGAGTCATAAATGGAAGAATTTATAAGAAGTGCGAGGAACAAATATCGGACAGACAGTTCGGCTTCATTAACGCAGTGGGTACCAGAGAGGCACTTTTCGGAGTCCAGGTACTGATTTAAAGATGCAGGGACGTTAACTGCGACGTATACGCGTGCTTGATCGACTATGAAAAGGCATTTGACAGAGTTCAACATCAAAAGATGATAAACATTTTAAAAGAGGCAGACCTGGATGACAAAGACCTCAGAATAATTTCAGAACTCTACCGAAATCAGACCGCATACCTGAAAATTAACGGAGAAGAAACAGATCACATAAAAATACTACGACGAGGCTCTTTACGGAATAGACGAAAGCATCCTTCTAAATGGTGAAAGAGTAAACAATGTTAGATATGCCGACGACACCATGGTGATAGCAGATAGTTTAGAGGGACTTCAGAGGCTAATGGACAGAATAAACGAGTACAGTCAATAGTACGGACTAAACATTAATACCCACAAAACGAAACAAATGATTTCAGCAAGGAGAATATAAACGGGGCTCATCTATACATTAATGGGACGCAGATAGAGCGAGTAAAACAGTATTGTTACCTGGGAACTATTATTAACGAACAGTGGAGCAATTTACAGGAAATAAAGTGCCGCATAGGAAAGGCAAGAACGGTCTTTAACAAAATGAGCGCCATCTTCAAAAGTCACAACATATCCCTTGATACAAAAATGAGACATTTGAGATGCTATGTTTTCTCTGTGTTGTTGTACGGGGCGGAGGCATGGACGCTTACAGACACCACTATTAAAAAACTTGAAGCATTTGAGATGTGGCTTTATAGAAGAATGCTGAGAATATCATGGACAGCAAGGATCACGAACAAGGAAGTTCTAGGAAAAATGAAGAAGGAACCAGAGATTGTGTTTACGATCAAACGCATAAAATTGCAATATCTGGACACGTTATGAGAAATCAGCACCGTTACTCCCTGCTACAGTCTATATTGCAAGGTAAAGTCAAAGGTAAGCGAGGACCCGGTAGAAGGAGAATATCATGGCTGCGGAATTTAAGAAATGGTTTAAGAAAACCTCAACGGAGCTGTTTCGAGCCGCAGCGAGCAAGGTTATGATTGCCAATATGATTTCCAACATCCGAAACGGATAGGAACCAGAAGAAGAAAAAGAAGAAGATAGACCATTAAGATACAGAAATACTTATCATAAAAGAATTCTACAAACAATGGATGATAAAGCGTATGAGATATTCAATGAAATAAGAAATCACCCCAACAGAAAGCTGAAAGAGCTAACAGATTTTAATAAAAACGTCAGAACGACATAGACGGTCTAAACAACAGATAGCTGGAAATGTTCCAATAGTATAACGACATGAAGATAGAGACAGGCACAGAATAGTCAAAAGCACGCGGAATAGGAGTAGGAAAAAAAGGGGTAAGATCTGGTGCTCTGGCAATTTATAGTTCCGAACACCAGCTTTTGCTCACCAAAAAAAAAATTAATATAAAAACCAAATAAAACACCTTCTGTTGCCACGACAGAACAGTTGCAAATAGTATATAGAGTATTAATAGTTCCCGGGTCGTCAACCCAACAATAGTCGAGTGATACTGATCCTGTCATACACAGACTCGCCACGCGAATGCAATACGAAGAGAACCATTAGTTCTCTTCATACAGCCAAACTTTTGGCTTAGGCCCTTATGGCAGGTCTATTGGGAGACCATCATCGGGAACTGAGCATCGAGGTCATGTGCGACAAGCATGGGCTCGGTGGCCAGACCTGTCGGGTGCCCAGCTGTCGAGGAGAACAAATTAAATTTTGCCAAATCGACAGCTGAGTGACCGAACACACACTTTCCTTGTACGAAGAGGCATCAACTTAGGCTGATGCCGATCTGTTCAAGACACACACTTTCTTCGGGACTTCAGTCCAAAGTAATGCTAATTACAAAATTACACTCAGTAAAGTAACTAGGGAGAAAAGCTTACAGCTACCCCTAAAAGTGAGGTGGCCTAACCACAACCAAGTCTATACGGAGAGTGTTGTTTATTACCCAAATCGCCCGACGTAACAGTTCATAAGCCTTCTCTACGTATGTCAGACGTAGAGAAGGGGTCGAGGAAAAACCTGGGGGTCAGATAGGTACCGATCCAGAATGATTAGTTCTTCTGGAGCGAGACCGGTTTGATCTTCGGATATGTGGATCCCACTGATTAGCAGTGGTATACACATATGTCACTAGGGGTTGGGTTCAACACTTCGCGTGTATGTGTGTGTGTGTGTGTGTGGTGTGTGTGTGTGTGTGTGTGTGTGTGTGTGTGTGTGTGTGTGTGTGTGTGTAAAATTATAGCGAAAAATAAAATTTTAAATTTCCACTTTTTCACCCTGTATATTTTAAGGATTTACAAATATTACTTATGTGAGTATTTTAAAAAAACAATATTTTTAAAACAATTGGATATTAATATTTGGACGAAGGAAGAGTTTTTGAATTATCTATAATTATTTTTATTAAATAATATTTTATTAAATTATTACTATTAAGTACTTTTTAATTTCAATTGTCAGTAATCATGTAGGGGGATTGCAACAATGATCTATTAAAATTTAATAAGAACGCATAAATATAAATTAAGATATCAATTAATTATATAAATTCTTGTTAAACTTATGACTCTAATAACTAAATTTACCTATGGGCGATGTAGGCGGAAATATGTAATTTACCAATACCGCACCTTTAATTAAATGTTTTAATTAGAATATACTGAAGATATTGTTTTTGCAAGTATAAAAGAAAGTCTTAAACTGCACAAATAATCAATCATTCTTTAACTTCTATTAATGATGAGGCGTTATAGTTTTTCCGTATGTCTGGTAAGTTTTCAGAATTTAAATTCTATTCTCAATTAATGGTATTTAAAATTTGTAGATCGTTTGGTAGATTTTTTAAGTATACTCGGATTTTCAAATCATAAATTATAACTTTTAATTATATTTAATTTTTTTATTTACTAATTTATAAACAAGGCGAGGCTATTAGGGTATTGTTAGTTTAAGTAATGGTAATTAATATATAATTAATAGTAAAAATTAAGTGATTTTGTACGCCCATATTTAATATGAAAAATTAAATTATATGAAACAGTCGACAAATGACAGAAGATAAGCAAACAAAGGAACTAGAGAATGCGATCAGAATATATTCTACTGAACATCGCTAACAAGGCTTTGACTATATTTTAACGAAGCTGCATTTTCACGCTGTTCAGGGATAATGTATCTTATTCTGCGGTATATTAACCAAGCATTTTGTATGGAGACATCAAGACCCTAAATAAATAAAGACAGCACAATTTCTTGTGTTATATTTGTTTTGTAATAGGTAACAGTTTTATCCATCCGATCAGTTATTTCCATAGTTTTCGTTATAAGCCCAAATAAGTGTTTGTTTTTTTTATTTTTATTGTCGTACCAACTTTCGTAAATTCCACGTATGGATTTTTTAAAACTTTCACTGAATGGACACTTTTCTGTTCTATTTGATCGTATTGTTCCTAATTAACTTATTCCATTCGATTTTAAAAAATCAATTAGTTTTATAGAGGTGAAATAATTATTGTCAAAAATGTAAGTAATGGGACACAACCCTATCGCATTAAGTTTTAGAAATAAGGTAAGCAAACTACAATAATATTTCACCTTCAAGGCCAAATTGTTTTTTGCATTCATTGGATTTTTCCTTAGTTTCTTGATAAATATTGAAATTTTGTGGTAACCAGATTTCTGACTCCAACACAATGATTTATACGCAAAGCATATGGGCTTGCCTTTTTTATGTTGTTTCATACCAAGAGGCCCCTGGTATGGTATCATGGTCGTAGCCACGCTAGATTCAGTTTTCCATACAGTGTATTCAGTAAATGGTTTGCAGAGACTTTCAAGGTACGGAGAAATTTTGTATGTTTCGTCTGAACAATTTACGTTTAGGTTATAGTTTATGGAGGAATCTTATAATGGTTTTAAATCGGCTACGATGCAGGTTACTTGAAATTGGTATATGTTTAACATCATCCGATTTTTCCCAGTACATGCGTCTTCTTGGATTCGGGCTGTACCTACTAACTAGTAAAATCCCTCCTATACTTCAAATTCTAATGTAGTATCATTTTGAAGAGCATAATAGACTGTTTCCTTTACAATATTTGTTAAAATCTATTCATTGGAAAAAAATCAAATATCTGTAAAGGAGTTATTGAAGAAGTGTATATCTTCCATTGAGTTTTTTATATTTAATATCCAAATAAAGGAAATTATTTTCATTTGGTAAATCTCCCTGAATCAATTTCCGTGGTAGGAGAGTTACAATTTTTACACGAATCTTAGTAGATGCCACCTAAATATCTTGAATTTCTTCATTTTAAATCTTTATTTCTGTTTACAGCTCAATATTTTTCGTATCTTCTTCTTCCTTAACTTGTGTCACACTTTGAAGATCTGTTTTTTTTTTCATATAGATTTATATTTTCTTGTCGACCCTTCTTTCTGCTTTTTGATAAATTACAGCTTCTGATTTAGCATCCAACATATTTTTGTTTAGGTTATTGAATGTTCCTTCACAGTCTTTATCTCCACTATCTTCATCAGTCAATTCAGTGGAGTGAGAAGGTACTAGGAGAACATCTACATAGAATGCCGACTCCATAAGGTTTGATTCTTCTAGCATGGATAACAAAAATGATTTTATGTACTAATAATATACCTTTTGCCTAGTGTTGTGAAAATGCGCACTGATAATTAAGCAATTGTACCAACTAGTACAGACACTTTATTTTAATTTATTGTGTCATTCATAAAATTTCGGCCTAATATTGGGCATGTAAGAAGATGTTCCATATTCTATGTGTCTCCACAGTCACAGTTCATCATTTATCTTCTTGGTCGATTTTCCCCCATTTTGCCATTTTAGATTTTACTAAAGCTACTCCCGTTGATATCCTATTCATAGTTTTCCACGTTTTAAAGTCTAAGGACTGGCCGGTCCATTGAACCTGGGGAAAAGGAAAATACTCAGGCGGTTCACCCTGCAAGTGAATTATATTTACTATAGTCGTCAGCAACGAAAATGCCACTATACGAAGAAGCTAAATTGTGATCAGTATCAATTTTGGGATCTTAGAACGGATGTTATAAAGTTTACCACTCCTATACCTGATCTTTTCATTAAATAAAAAATAGCTAAGATAATTTAGAACAAAATTGTTTATTTGTTTATTGGTTTTTCTTCTGTAAAATGAACCGTTCTCACAGAAATAAATCTTCAAGTGACCGGCGGTTTTTAATGTCAGCTTCTGTTTTCATTCATAAAATTTATTGTAAAATTTCTTAAAATGAAAAAGGTTATGACGTCGGCTCTCTTATTTGAATTAATTGGCCAATATGTTGACCAGTTTACTATTTTCCAGTTGAGTATAATCTTCTATTAAGCTTGAACCCCATACGAGGTTCTTGGCATTAAAGTCTACACGAATGTTAAATTTTTCCCCAAGAGTATTCAGCAAGTGGACGTAATCTTTTTTTTTTTAATTATGTTTTAGTCAAAGTGAATTAGGTAATTTTTTATTTGGTATATTATCAGGTGGTTAAAAGGTGTAAATTATTGTAGATGGATTAAAGGTGAATAAAGGTTAAGAATGTAGGTAGGCAACCAAGTTCACAGATATCTAAATTCAATGATGGAGAACTAAACATTTTTTTTTCTTATAAAAAAGGCCCTAGGTATATCGTTTCTACATTTGATACCTGAAATATAGAAATCAGATATGTGTGGAACGTTACGTTTTTTTTTAAATTTAATTCTTACAAAGTAAAATGTTAAGTGATGTATGTAAGTGTGTTTTTTGATATAAAAGGTGAACAGAATAATAGATGTAATGTTCTTTTTCTTCTTCTTAATGTGCCTATCCGTTACGAATGTTGGCGATCACCATGGCAATCTTTATCTTATCTACAGCAACGCGAAAAAGCTGCAAAAATGTTGTATTCAACCAGATTCTAAGGTTCTCTAACCAAGATGTTCTTCTTTTTCCTGGACCTCGCTTTCCAAATATTTTTCCTTGCAGGATGGATTGAAGGAGAGCACATCTGGTCTCATTTGGTGTAATATACTGTTGCTATATTACTTAACTTATAACTTAAGTAGAGAAAAGCCCTACATATTAAACACAATATTTGGTTCCTGATTAATATAAGATGTGTAACTTATAAACTTATAAACTTAAACCTATGAACTTATAGCTATAAACTTACAAACCTTATATTAATCAGGTACTGAATATTGTTTTGAACATGAAGGGCCTTTTTTTACTTAAGTAATATACCAACAGTAAATTACACCAATTATTCTGTTTACTTTCTACATCAAAAACACACTGACATACATTACATAGCATTTTACGATGTAATAATTAAATTAAAAAAAAATTTCATATATCTGTTTTCCATACCCCGAATACCAAACGTTGAAAAGGTTTAGAACCTTTAATATAAGAAAAAAGTTTAAGTTCTCCACCACTGAATTCAGATATATGTATAGTTGGTTGCCTACCTACATTCATAAGTTTTATCAACCTTTAATTAACCAACAATAATACCTAATTTACAACTTTTCCAACAAAATTTTTGGGGCAAATCATAATTTAAACTCCAAAATATGGATGGTTCCTACTGTTATATACAATCGAATTTTAACATATCGTCGCTTACGATGCAAAAGCTCGTAACCCACAAATAAGTTTTTTTTTGTGTAGAATAAAAAACATTCTCTGCATGCAAAAATCGTTAAACCTAAATAGATAATTATTGATTTAATATCAAGATATTATTATAATATTGGAAAATACATATGGGCCCAAACACGGCATACTTCTTGTCTGTTTCTATGCTGCGGTAGTTCTACCCATAAATCATCAAAGTTCAGTTTGTATGTGTACAGTGTGTAGTGTATATTTAATACCTCTAATGTCAGACATTTTTGTTCCCTGGTCGTATGCTGGCATAAATCTGGTTTTCCTTTTTCGAATAATCTTTAAACCGATCCTACGTTACCCATTCCGCCATTTATGGATAGGGATTTTGTCTAGCTTCACGAGTAATAGAAAGATAAGTTGAAGGCAGATATATATCTTTTTCTTTTTCTTAACGTGCCCTATCAAGTCCCCTTGACGTTGGAGATTAACATGGCGAAATTGTCTCTGTCTAGACCTATTCTAGAGTTGCTCAGCTTTCCTTATTCCTGTTTACTCCCTGATATTCTTCAATCAAGAGGCCTGCTTTCTACCAATTTCTCTGCGTCCTTCGATTTTACCCATCATAATAAGTTGAAGAATATTATATCGGTCTTCTCTTACTACGTGTCCAAAATAGATATATATCACGTCCTTTAATTTTAGTTTCTATTCGACTGTGAACGGAGTCACACTCCATTTGAGTATGTCCACGTTCTAAGTATTTTTATTCAATTATTTGATTTCTACTTATAGAGCAAAAAAGCAGTGCATTTGCTATGATACTGTTACGGTTTTGATATGTACATCCATCACTGTACACTGTAAGTGGCAAGTTGCTATCCGTAAACCGTGTAATATAGTCCACAACCAAAGAGGCAAACGAAGAGGCGGACAAATCAGTTTCTATTTCGCTAAACCAATAACACATAACATGTTTTGTCTTTATATTCATTATGGTGAAATTATGACAACATAATTTTGTTTTATAATATACAGCACTTGCGTTAAGGCTGGGACATACCTTAACAGCTTGTAGATCCATCATTAAAACGATGCTTGATTCATCTTGAGCTAGCTTGGTGTCATTCAGTTTTTCTTGTCTTGCTCTTTCCTTCTTAGTAATATGATTGGCAAAAGATTCCTCATCCAGGTTCCCTACTTCATGTTGACAACAAATGTCACATTTATCTTTTTTGGGCAGATATATAGAAATTCCTTTCTCATTGAATAACTCGTCGAATGTTCTTCTACTCATAGCCTGATTGCCTTCATTTTTGCACTTCAACAGATACTCGCTATATAAAGCTGTAATAGATCGAACATCTGGTCTAAATATAATTTGCTTGAGCTTTTACGGCAGTAGTGGGATGGCAGTTTTGGTAGCTCATCTAAAAACTGCTTGTCACCATTCATTTTGGGTCGTGCTCGTCTCATTCCTGTTTCTTCTGATACATTGGATTTGTAAATATTGTGTTTAGCTTTCTTAACCCATGAGGTAACTTGAAATTAAATAGAATTATTATATTTAAATAAAAATTTAAATAAAATAATATTAATGATAAAAAATTAGGAATTTCAAAGATACAACACTTTTGCACGGAGAAAATTGTAAAAAGTGTAGACACATTTTCTGTTAGTGTTGTTCTTTTTTCGTATATTTCATCTTGGGCCAAAATATTTTTATACAAAAATGGTGGGCTTCTGGTATCATACCCGAATGGCAGAAGTATACTAAATCTTTCTTTTGGCCATTTCAATTTTTGACTGTTCTTTGTAGGCAGGTTTAAGTAGTACTTCTCTTACATTATAATAACACAATTAATTTAACTTCAACTTACTCTGCATGTCGTTGTTATCCTCACTTGTCTGCGTACACAGGGATAAAATCCTTAACGTTCAGGAACCATTAAATTTTGACATTTACGAAATCGTTAATTCTGCATCTATCACTTGCACGGGCTAATAACAGATTATATTGAACTTCTAAAATGTACCTAGTCGTACTTCTTCGCTGAGAACTCGTTTTTAATAATTTAATCCGGGTAAGCAAAGAAAAAGTAATTTCCAACAACGATAGGAATAGTACTAAACATTACATTTAATGGATTCCCAGAAATCACCTGGTAGATAAAGTGAAAGTAATTCCCGGGGTTTGGTATATACGTTTAATCAATTTCAGGTAAATAAAGAAAAGTATTTCGGGTAAATAATGAAAAAAATAATCTTCAACAGCAATCGGGGTTTAGTATGGTATTAAACTTTACATTTAATAGATTCCAAGAAATCAGATAGCTACCTAGAATAAATACGTACCTAATAAAACGGCTTATTAGCTAGCGGCAATTTAATCATTCTATCTTCTGCACATGTTTCTGATAGCCACAATTCCTTCGCTTTGTAATGACAATGTCATAACAAGGTAGAAAAATTATTTGTAAAACTTTCAATATTTTTATTTAAATTCAAAACAAAAGGACTATAATAACAATATGCAAATCAGGCTACTTTGAGTACAGTGATTAACAAAAGGATTGAAATTCACTACCTTAGTAAAAGTTGGGAATTACGGGGGACAATATGATAAGACAATCGCCCCGGAAGGTTACATGAAGATTTAATACAATTTGGGATTTAGTTTTTATAGAACAAGTTTTCTGAGAATAGATATTTTTAACCTGTCAGTATTGTTAATACACAAGTTTTAAGATAACTATTTTTCCTTTCATAAGAAAAAATACTTTTTGGCTGTAAATAATTAGTCTTAATTTACGTGTTTTTAATCCAATCTAATAAATAAATGGTCAAACGACATCGCACACATTTTATGGAAAATATAATGTCACACAAAGGACATAAAACTTACATGAATAGATTGGTCTCGTAAATCTTTGTTTATTGTCTCGGCCGTTAATGGATTACGTAGACACGCTGTATATTAAAATTAAACACCACAGATATAGATATTAAAATAACAAATATCTTACTTTTTTCGTGCCTTTCATTGCTTGTTATCGAAACCATTGCAATGTTCCGTGCAAAACTGTTGTAACTCTGTTACATTAGAATTACAACAGTTTTGCACGGAACTTATGTACAAAAACGCAAAATAGTTAAACTGTTGTTGTTGTAATATTTAGCCGGTTAAGCATTTGAAAGTTACTAAAGTTTTACAGGGGATAGATATGCATGTTTACAATCGAATTCCATGATTACTTCATTTTCATAAAATTTTGAGTTACTGCAGTCTTGCACTGAGGGTGCGATTTGTCTTTTGACCATCAACTGGTAAAGTATAAAACATTGAAAAATTTCTGGATGATGTTTCATTTTTTGTATACCTTCGTTTTACAGATGTGCGTGTAATATTATTAGCCACAAAAATTTTCCGTTGTTTCCATGTCATTTTCCAAAATTTGTTAAATATTTCTTTTCTAGTATCTTCTAAAATGTTGGAACAAGCACGTAATTTACTTTTCTTACACTGATTTGAATCACAGCGTGGTCCCATTGTTTTCTCAGGTTTCGGAGCAATTTGTTTGTATACTTTTGTTTCAGGATCTTTTTGAAAACCAAGATACACTTTACCGCTTTCTCGTAGTCTTTTGTTTGCTTCTCTTTTCCAAGATTGCCTCTCCGGTTTCCTCTTTCTAATTTTACCCATTTGTGTGCCTTCAAAATCACTGAATACACTTCTTGCATGTTCTTCATTGGTAGTATTTTCATTGATGTTCAAATCTAATTCTTGATTTGATTTTGAAATTTTGTATTGTTCTTTATTCGGTGATTCTTGTGATATTTCTTCACTTGTGCTGGCTGCGTTGGTGTCCGTTAAAATTTCGCAAACCTCGTCATGTCCAGACATTTTAATCACTATATCATCAGCATTGTAAACATTATTATTATGGATTATAGCTTGGTTGGCAGGCGAAACAGTTATAACAATAGGTGGGAAAATAGAATCAGAACTTGAACATTTTCCCTTTTGCTTAACATTTACATTAGAAGCAACCGTTTGATCTGAAACAAACACGCTGCTTAAAATCGTTTGAATATCGTCGGCCTAATTAGCAAATCACATAAGTCACAAAAGCAAAACTTTTCAGGAGACACATTAAATTAATTAAATTAAAAAATACTGTAAGTTTCTGTTCTAAATATCGATGATAAATCTACTACAGGTTAGATATTAGTATATATTTGTCTAAAACATGATATCAGTTAATGATAATTATATAAATGGACTTATTGATTTTTCTGCGCTTATTCTTATTTTTGTTTTACTTGTGTGACTTAATAAAAATACATAGTTTAAACAATTATTACATTTTATTGATAACTTTTTTACTTAAAAAAGATTTTTTGAACAAATTAAAATTTCGTGTACTTAATATTTATTTTCGTATTATTCATGTGGCAACTGATCGTAAAAATGGTGGTAGTCTTTGGGTAAAATATTTTTTAAAGACATTAAGTGGTCGAATTTCTCTCTTTTGATTTTTAAAGGAGCGCTATATAGACGAGGAAGTTCTTGCAGTTCAGTAGCTTTAACTTTGTTATATCTTGATGGAAGAGCTTTCCAGTCGGCAACATGTCGCAGTTTGAAATCTATGGTACCGTTTGAATTGTACCTATAAGCCCGGACATCATTAACCCTTGGGTCTCCAGCTTTGCGCCCAGGTCTAATTGAATTGACAAAATGTACCTGATCAAAATTTTTGAAAAAGCTATTTGTAAGGTACTCTACGTTATAATTCTTGGGATGTAGTCTAGCTGTTCTACAAACATCAACATAATCTGCCGGTACATTTATGTTTCTATTTCGTAACTTGCGCTCAATAACGGAATGCATAGAATCGCATTCCATTTGAGTATGACCTCGTTCGAGGTACTTCTGAATTATTGTAATTTTCCTAAGTACAGCTAAATTAAGTAAGGCATTTGCAATGGTTGCATTCCTATTTTGGCAGCCACATCCGTCGCTCCAAAAAATTAAGCAGTTATTGTCGTCTTCACCATTATTTTCTGTTTCTGCAAGGTGATTTATTATAAAAGTGCTAATTATAGAAGCAAATGATTGTGCACTTAATCCTCCCTCGCCTTCATGCCAGATGTTACAGTAACCAGCTTTCGTCTTCAAATCATACACGGTAAAATTATGCACAATAAGTTTGGTTTTAAAGTAAAGTGAACCAGCATTTGATTTAGGGCATAGAAGCACCGACTGCAAGTCCATCGTAAAGACGCTATTATTAGATTGCTTATCCAATTCCTTCTCATGCCTCGCTTCATCTTTCTTTTGTATGTGTTGGTGATACTCTTCTTCGGTAATGTTTTTACTTTTAAATGAAATGCAGACGTCGCACTCGTCTTTTTTTGGTTTAAACAGACTAAGATTCAAATCTTCAAACATATGACAAAAGTAAGCTATTGACATTGGAGATTCATTAAATTTAGAACACCATGTTTCTTTATACAATGTGTACAATTCTGATTTAGATTTCCAAATTGGTTCAAGATACTGTTTTGAGGATGAACTTCTGCAATAATGGGATTCAACTTTTGCAAGCGATTTAAAAAAATCTTGCAAGTGTTGTCGCTGAGAACATTTTCTTGTTTTTTCCAATCCTGTCGTGTTTTCATTAATTGTTTTTTTGATATCCTCATTATTTTCTGTACTTATGTGATAAGCTTTTAACCAATTATGTATTGTCCAAGGTTTCAAGCCTAATGTGTTTGAAAATAGGTTTTTGCAAACTCTTAATTTTAATCCATTCTTTTCAAGATAATAATTATAAGAACATGCTCTTTGAGATGTCTCCTCATTCTTTCTATTTCTAGCCCTCGAAGTGTTTACTCGTTGGGTTAGTAGATTAACGGTTAACTTCTTTTCATCCCAAGTTTTTTTCCAAAATGAATCAAAAATGTTATTACGGTGCTCTTCAGAAAAGGCACGACATTTTAACTTGGAAGTGTTTGGGTCAAACTTGCAATTACATGTCTCTGCCAAGGACTTTCTGGGTCTCTTCAAGTCATATGTCCATTTATTACCTTCTTTCTTCTTCCCAAAAAATTCGGAGCCCAACTCTCTCTTCCTTTTATTCTCCTCTCGTTTCCAATCATTTTTGTCAACATGTCTGCATTTGCGTCTTTTTTTGACAATTGGTTCGGCGGTCTCTTCTTCATGCAAAATCTCTTCTGTTGTATCATTAGTTTCTGACAAAAATTCGATCAAGTTCTGTTCTCGAATTATCTCTCCATCCGTATTATTTATTGTCTCATAATTAGTTACTGGACTATGCAGTAATGTTCTTTCAAATTCATTCAAATTTTCTTCCAGTACGATTTCCGTGTTAATGTCAATAGCAACAGCACTTGTTTCATTTGTCTGAACGATTATTTCTTCTTGAAACGTGCTTGTTTCTAAAACATGTAGTTCGTAGTTTTTATTTTCTTCTGAGTTAACAGGTATTTCCAAGTTCAAATCGGGATTTAAAGAATTGTTGTGTTGAATTTTAGCCATACTAAGCATCTTCTGAGTTCTGCTTGACATTCTGCAACCAACAAAAGAATTACTTATAAAATACTTATTGATTTCGGCAAAAGATGAAAATTTTTATCTTCATGTGTCTGAATTCTCAGCTAAATAGATTAATTTTATGCATTAACGTATTACTTACATTATTGCATACAAAATACAAAAAACGTATAATTATTTTATTAACATCTAACTTCAATTTGACATCATAAAATAATATATAAACACACAAGTCCATCAGGGATTCACATTGTATGACCAAACATAAAAAGAGAAAATCACATAAGTCCCAATGCTACCTTTTAAGCCGAATTATCAGATAATTTATTGATTAATTTTTATAAAATATTGATAATATTAGCACAATAACTTACTTGAAATGGTGAATAACAACAATTAGTTCTTAGTATAAAATTTTCAGCCTAAATTGAACAACTTAACAAGACCTTTAGCACGCACGTGTGTTTACCGCATAAATATCAGGAGTTATGTGATTTTCCTATCTGTTACAACTAACGTTGGACTTGTGTGAAGTATTATTTTCAATTTTACTCCATTGCAGATTTCTTGGGACTTGTGGGATATTCTTTAACTAAAAGATTTTTTTATTCTCTACCAGATGGTAGCACAATGTCAATTTCGACAAAAAGTGGACTTATGTGATTTGCTAATTAGGCCGACGATATATGTCTTTGTAGATAAATGCATATTATCGTGAATTTAAAACAATAGAATAGGTAAAAACCAAAGACCACGTTCAACGTATGGATATGAGCACAATGTAAAACTAATCATGATGCATGACTAAATCGTTTTAAATAGTTAAAAGTTTTTAACAAAAACATAATTGATAATAAACGTCTTGGATATCTGATATTATAACAGTAATCAATATTATGTAAGCTCACCTGTTGTGTTTAAACATTCTTGCACTAAGAATTTAACACGTTTAGAAACCTTAATATTGTCCATATTCATTTTAATTTGCACAAAGTTTGCTTTTCAGTACTGCGATATTTAAGAAATAATTTTAAAGTTAGAAACATTTGGGTTAAGTAATACAAGTATTCGATTCAAAAGCTTGTAAGCCATATGCGCATCATGTATATGCGGGTTATTAGGTTTTGCTTAGAACTGCAATACCTCATATCCCACATAGACTAGATGGGTATGTGGTTAACGAGATGTTGCAGTAAAATATGTGATTTGCGAGTTTTTTTATTTTCGATAAAATTCACTGAAACAATGCAATTGTGGCTTGCCATATTTTCAACCGATATTGTCTGAAGAGCTGCACTTATCTCAGACAAGTGGTTTGGGCAAGGTAGTCGAATGTCGAAAGTAAATTTTCAGTATGTCCCGTAGATGTTTGATTGGGCTAAGAACGGGACTGGAAGCTGGACAATCCGTATGAAAAATCTCAAAGTCTTCTAAGTTTGTATTCACATTAAAAGAGAATTCTCTCTCTTGTTGTCGACAGTAATGTAGCTTCGACTAATTTTTAAATAATTTTAAACTGTTTGTCCTTGTTTAGTGTTGTGTTATGTACAATTTATGTTTAATTTCATGTTGATTACATATTATCCGCGCTTCTTGGATAGCCCAAAATTGACGAAATGCCCCTGATGATGCTTAAGAAAGCGAAGGTACTTGGGCAAGATTTGATTATTAAAATTGTGCTCGATTTCATTTTATCAAAGTTAAAAGTAATTGTTGAACATATAATATTTTAATACTGGGAATATATTTAATTTTTTTCGTATACAAATTAAATATTTATTAATTTATTTTCAGGTTCTTTTTAGTATAACGACGATATGGTCATATGCCTTGGATTCTAACGATGGTTCGCTACGAAGTTTGTTACTAAACCAAAATAACGAACAAAGGTACTCTAATAAAAACAATTTCTTTCACTATAATGATGGTTTAAACGGCCAGTACAGCCCATGTGGTGCGTCACCATGTCAACCAGAAATTGACATATACAATGGCCCGTGTGGTGGTTCGGTGTGTCAACCAGGAATGTCATCATTTCCAATGATTCCACAAATTCCACCTATTCCACAAATTCAACCAATAATTCCACAAATTCCCCCAATTCCGCCAATTCCTCAATTTCAACCAATAATTCCACCAATTCCACCAATTCCACAAATTCAGCCAGTATTTCCATCAATTCCACCAATTCCGCCAATTCCTCAAATTCAACCAATAATTCCACCAATTCCACCAATTCCATCAATTCCACAAATTCTACCATCCCCTTCATTCCCAGTATATCCACAACCAAGTGTCAGTTGTAGTTATGGGTGTCCTCCATATTATAAATAAATGTCGGTAACATAATAAGAATAGAAAATGGAAGATATCTCCTACAATGTTTTAATAAATCCTATATCTATGTGGTTTGCGTTTTATTTTAAATATTATATGCACTTTACTTTTTTATTAAGTGTACCCAGATTTACAGGTTCTAAACTACGATTCTGAATAAAGTAGTGAAAAAAGTTATAATAAACAATTTAAGAGATTATTAAATCATATATATATATATATATATATATATATTATATATATATATATATATATATATATATTTATGCCAAGTAACAAGAAGTCGAGAGACCTCTCTCGGATAGCAAATTAGGTGAACCGTAAATTCAAAGCCTCTTACTAGAGGCTTTTAACGACGCTAGAAGTACCGTTGAAATGAAATGAAATGTAATATTTTACTTTCATATATATATATATATATATATATATATATATATATATATATATATATATATATATATATATATATATATATATATATATATATATATATATTTAACATTTATATTTATGTATATATATATATATATATATATATATATATATATTGTTGTACTTTTGAATGTCCATTAGCAATAAAAAACCGATATACAAATTTTATTACTTAAATAAAAATTAAAATTATTGATATTTCATAAAGACACGGGCATATAAATTTTCAAACATCCTGTATAAGACAAAATATGTATTTTAAGTTGTTCGAAGAATTGTTCATTAGGCCTCAGAGACAAGACTTTCAAATATTATCGATAAGAAATTTAAATAAGTCGGTTATTGTGGAATGGATTTACCCAGAATAAAAGTGTATATAGACAGTGTTTAAACAATAGACCGGGATTTGCGGTGGTTTTTCTCCCCGAAAGATTATATCGGTAAAAGTTTATTAACAAAAGACATTGAATCGAGAAACAGGTATCGTTTGTAGCTATTAGTAAGAAATATTTGTAAAGCAGATAGATTTAGTTAGAATAATTAAAGAATGTGGTTTTCTGGAATTACCCGAATGACGTTTTATAAAGAGAGTTGGTTGGTAACGATATACGTCACAGAGGTGGATGATTTTTATTGGTCAATTTTTGAATGCAATGGAGGTAGTGGTTTTGGCTATGAGATAGGAGAGAGGAAAAAAGTTAGTTAGTCAGTTTTCGTCGCCCAAGAAGGAAGGAGCTTTGTGGTTTGTGTTTGTTTGAAGTCCCGAAGACGTAGTTTACCGGGTGTGTTTATTTGCTGTGTAAAAGCTGATCAGTGTGAGGAACGAGGTACAGAGAGATAGAAAAACCAAAGGGTATAAGAATATTAATATCAGACGAAGCCGGAAACATTTGAAGTTATAAACAGGCGCGGAGATTCGCTCAAAAGGAGGCTGCATAGAATTACACGAGTTGTTGGGTTGCAGATACAAGGACAGATAGGAGAAAGGTGTACGTCATCTGGACCACAATAGGAGCAGAAGCAGAGAAAGGTTTTTTTTTATGGCATGGTCATAGAATTGCAACGGCAGAGAACGAAAGGTCAGTCAATTTTCATTAGAGCAGGAGTGTGGTTTTCATTTATTAATTAAATAAATTGAATAAATAATAGAGACAGTTAATTTTGCGATCATTTAAAGAAAAAAATTAGAAAGAGAGCTTAGTTATAACACATATTAAAAATCAATGTAAAATAACATTTGGGTCCATGATGGAAAACAACTTCTCATATTTTTAAAGTATTATATTGCAAATATTACAGGATTGATTGTTATATAAAATTTCATTAAAATAAAGGACATCTCACATATAGTTCAGTTGAAATTCTGTGTATTTTATTCAGGTCATATTACCTATCCCAATTAGGAAGCCAATTAGAAAATATTTTGAATCCACGATCAAAGGTAAATAGTACAAGTTAAATAGCCTGAGATTGTAATTAATTAATGCTGATTTATTGTGATTAATTGGAGATTAGATCATTTAATAAATATAGACAAGATCTTTTCTAAATAAGCAATAGAATACAATTTAAATAGCATAACAAAATGGCCCCCATCGTGTAAAGCTTTGAAAAATATTTCTAGTTGGCAAATTTGAAAGGATAGGAGTAGACGAGCAGATATTTGAAAGTTTATATGCCGTGGATAAAGTGAAATATTATGTAAAATTTGAGGACATAAAGATTTATATATTTTTTTAAGATACAATTTACCATAATTGATTTATTCGTGATATTGACAATTTATAGGTTACCATAATTGATTTATTTGTGTGATATTTACATTTGATAATTTTACCATACTTGATTTATTTGATTGATTTTGAGATTTGATATTTTACAATTTGATTTATTTGTGGGATATTGAAATTTGATACTCGTACTCAAGAGTTATTACATTTGAACAAGAAAAGTCCCGTTTGTTGCAACAGACCAGTAGAATTTTATATTTGGCGGGGATAAAAACATAATAAATGCCAAACACAAGAAACAAGAGCAAAGAGAACAAAAAACAAGAAGATAAATCAGAACAGGAAGAATATTCAGACCAGGAAGACGTATTAGAGACAACAGTAATGGAGACAGAAAAACAAGAATCGGGAATAGAAAAATTATTAGCAATGATGTAATTACAGACACAACAAATACAAGAATCAACAAAACAGGCCATACAAGAGAACCAAAAAGAAACATCACTAAAAATCGAA